TGGTATCACAGAAGCTGGAGACCCAGCGATCTGGGCAAATCCCACTCACCATGAACTTGCTCTGGAAGGCTGGTGGGTGGCATGGTCCATGTGGGCTGGGGACCTGCTTTATGAGTTGGAATTCCCAAACCTCCGTGTAGAATACAATGCTTATTAATAGATAAGTTATTAATATCTGATATTAATAACTTATCTATAACTTATCTATAAGTTATTAATATGCTAATCTGAAGCTTGCTTATATATTATTAAAACAACGGAGACTACTAAATTGTTTAAAATTTAGACCAACAAAAGTTTTGTTTATTTTCAGAGAGGAGAATTTTATCATTGACCTTGTTTAGAATTGGTGGGATGTGGTGAAAATAAAAAAGATAATTTTAAAAGACCAACTTTTAACCAGTTTAATCACTGTTTTAAATTTTCTGCAGACCCTGAGGAATGCACGACCCCTCCTCCCTGAGACACCATAAATGCCACCTCAGACCCCTGCCTACCTGGGCCACCTTTGGAACTTGCCCTTCACCCACCAAGAGAACTGCAACTGAGAACTCAGTGTCCGGTCAGCTTTCCCTATGCCTGTTCCTTTCCATTAGTAGCTGTCCTCTGGTCCCTTGTCTACCTGTCTAGTACAAAGCCCATATAGTACCAAAACCCATATCTCCTTCCCCTCCACCTGCAGAAAACAGAGTCTGACACATAGTAGAGGCGCATACGCATTTATCGAGCGAATTAACAAAGCGGGGAGAATGACTGATATGCATTGGCATCTGTTGCATGTTCTAGGACAAGGGCAGCATCCTTTGTATAACCTCCTTCGTTCAAATTTTTACTTCAGAATATAAAGAAAAAGAGAACCAGATGTCTGAATGATCCATAAACCAATCACTCTGCTCCAGAATAACTAAGATTTTAAACTATTCACGTATTAACAACCAGAATGGTCCCAGCATAGTGTGAAGTAAAATTTTAAGACAATTTAAAAAGAAAGCTCGGAGTACTCATTGAGGCTCCAGAATGAAAGTGAATGGCGCGAAGCCACGGCTCAGGGCACACACCATGCTCTTAGGCTTGTGATTGTTCTAAAATACTTAAAATGGCTTCCACCCAAAGATCTACCAAGAAAAGCTCTCTGGTCTCCTGTTCTATAGCTGTCGGTCCTCAGAGAGGTTTGATAAACTCTATAATCTGAATAAAATACGACGAGTTATTATTCATGAGGGAGTTCTGTAAGTGAGGTTCAGAATTTCCTCAAAGTTTGCCTCCTAAATGCTTTGTAGAACTCAGGCAAATCCCGCTGGCAAAAGTAAGCTCTCCTTCTGCTGAGCTTGCAGGCATGGTGCCCCAGCCCCTTCTAGGACTCTCCTGCTACCTTCTCTGTGAGGGGAGAGAACAACAAGGAGACCTGGAGCTGGGGACCCCAGGCTGTCAGGTCCCAGGTGAGTTAACCCAACCAAGGTCAGCAGGTTGTGACTGAAGAATTGAGGAACAGAGTGAAAATCAGACAATGTGGGGAACAAGGAGGGAGGAGATAGCCAGCAGAGGAACCGCACTGTATTTTGACACTCAGAGGGTCAATATGGGGGAAATTGCACCTGTGCGGTTTAGACAGGTGGTTTACTTCCCTGTGCCATCAGGTGAGTACTTGGCAGTGGGACTTGGTCCCCATTGTCTCTCCAGCTTGCCTCTTCCCCAATTCCCAGAGGATAAAGGAAGCAGGAGCTTGGTGTTATTGATGCTAGAGGGAGAAAGAAATCCAGGGGCCCTGTTCCCATCTCTTTATTTATAGATCAGGGAAATGGAGCCAAGGCTGAGTAAACCAGATTAATGGAAATGATAACGTGGAATCCACGATTCCCAGGGCAGGGTGGTTCCTGAACTTTATATGACCATTCTCATAGCAAGTGCTTCACAGATACTTCCTGGGTTAATGAATGAATAAACTGCACATGTCTTTGCTATTTCATTTTCTTCTTTAAGATATCAACATTTGGCTAAGTGAAGAGTAGTTAATTTGAATTTTTTTATGTGGAAGATGAAGAACTGCTAGCAAAAGAAGATATCCTGTAAAAGATCTGGGGGTCAGAGTGACTAACAAGCTGTAAGCCACTCATTCAACCTATGTTAATGCTGGTTGAATCCTACAGGACCACAACAGTTAACTGAGCAATATAGCTCTGCACAGACAGGAATCTAAACCAAGAGAAAATTTCACTTTTATGAGTATATGCCAGACTGCATTGCAACCCAAGGCAAATATCTTTAGATCGATTTTAGAGAACGTTGAGGATTCACCTGCCTGTAAATCAACCTTTAGAAATGCAGCTTCTCTCAGGCAGAGATTAACACTGACCTTCATTAAGCCTAAATGCCTAGCTACACTGGCCGAGAGCTGAGGACACCAACCAGCTCTCCTATGTTCCCTTGAACCTGGCTACTTCTCCAGATCTAGAGGCAAATTCAGAGTCCCGAGAAGGCGAGTCATGATGAGAGGGAGTCTGAGAGATTCTCAGCCCCAAGAGGCAGACCCTTCTGATTGCTATTCAGCCCAGGCCCTGTTTTCCTACCTTCAGGACACACAACCTTCCAGGACTCTGGACCCTGGTGGCACAAGCGGAAAGCTATGAAGTCCCCTGTGGACCTCCCTTGCCCTCCAACCCTCACTCCATGCAGCACCAAGAATAATCTTATTTGGACCCTCATCACCTCCTGAATCTGCTGTCTCTCATTGAGGGGCCCAGTTCAGTCCAAGACAGCATCCTCTGTGCCTAAAAACCTGCAGTCATCTGCTGAGGGGTCCTCATACTTTTTAGGGTCCATCAGCCCACTCCCCATTCCATAGCGGGAGGTGCTCTGTTTCACCCATGTCTCAGTATGTCATCCCCTTGGTGTTTCCCCCTGGATTTAAGAAGCCCCAGATCTCCCCTGTTTAGGCTCACAGGATTCCACCTTCCCTGGACCCTCTTTCTCATTTCTTGGGCTCCAGTCTCACGACCCTTCCTTCGCTCCCTGTGAAGGTCACAAGCCTCCCACTACAGGGCCTTGGTATGTGCTGTTCCCCTCTATGGACATCATTCCCCTTCCTTAGATATTTCCCCTTTAGTTTCTGGCTTCATTGCCATTATTTCCAGAGGAGTTTTCCCAACAGCCCATCCCCTACCAGGTCAGGACCTCTCCTGACACTCTAAGCTTCTCCCTGTGGTACCTATCACAATTGCAACTATTTAATGTGTTCAAATCCATCCACTCTAATAGATTTCAAGGGTCATGAAGGCAGACATTTTCTCCCAGAATCTCAGTGTTTAGCCCAACACACAATAGGGGCTTTGGTTGAATGAATGGATGAATGGGCTGGTCGGCAGACTGGTGGCTGGACGGCTGAATGGATGGGTAGGTGGGCAGATGGACGGCTAGGTGGATGGATAGATGATGAACGGATCTCCATAAGCACTAAGGAACACAGGGAATATTCAATGTGTTCTGAGAGAGGGTCCCTGGACTATCTCAAATGTTATTTTAAGAAAGTAAGACATAAGAAACACCTCTGAAAGATTTCCAACTATAATCTGATATGGGAACTTTATGCCTTGGGGGGACTGAAAGCCAGTGAGTTCCTAACCCCGATAAAACCGTAACTCAAATGTGGCAGACACTGGTACCACACCATTGCCCCTTGGAAGTCCCCTATGATTCTCCACCAGAGTATTCCTTCCAGTGGCCTGGGTCCTCACTTTCAGCCCAGAGCACCAAGAAGCTGCTGCCGCCCTTGAGGAGAGAAGCTGGAGGAGAACTACCCCAGCCCCCTCTCCTCAGCTGAGAAGACTGCTATGTGATCCACACCATCTCTCAGGTGTCCCAGAGAGCAGAACTCCAGACACCAGTGTCACCTGCTCTTTCAGTCACTCTGTGTGGGTTCCTCCTTTTCCAATCTCACTCTTCCTCTCAAAATAAACTACTTGCTTCAAATTCTTTTCTTAGGGTCTACTTCTGGGGGACCCCCAACAAAAAATAGCCCCGATGAGCAAAACAGGCTGTGATGCAGAGAAAAAATTCTTGAAGTCCAGGGCCTTTGGTGAATTGTTGTGCAGGAGATGGTCAGCCACCGCCCAGATCCTCATTCCAGGCCCAGAGCTCTGACCCTTCCCGGGAACCCTGAAGTGGGGGAGGCAGGCGTCAAGCCCAGGGTCAGGAGGCCAGAAACATTTTTGTTTTTTCTTTCTGAAGCTTTTTGTGACACCACCGCCTCCCAACACAATGTATGCACTTGTGAAACCCTGAAAACTGCTAAATTTTGCCCAATTTGGTTTAATGTTCTCGATGAGCTTGACCTTTTTTAAACACTCAGACATTCCCACGGCTCAGTTCCTATTTAAAAACTGCCTCTCTATTTAAAGTTCACGATAGGGGGAATAAAAGAAAAAAGACTTCCAAAGCTGAAAGGAACATGAGATAGGCAAAAGAAAAATCCAGTTTGCTTCTAAAAAAGGCTGAAAATTATAACCATTCATGGCCTCATGTCTCAAGTCTGAGGATTTTTTCCCCCATCTGGTTGTTTGCAAACCAAAGTGGAATTTTATTATGGGTTACTCAGGGAGCTTTTTCAAGTTTCTAGCCCCAAAAAGTATCTTCTCATTCCGTAGCATGCCATTTAAGATCCTTGTGCAGATGAGAGAGAACCAACATAAAGTAGCTAGCTGGTGTCCCAGAGCTGTAAACCTCTTTCCCCGCCTGCCGCCACATTTCCCCAGAGCTTAGTCAGGGGCCCAGAAAAGCTGTCTGGCTCCTTTTATGAACAACAAAACCGTGATGAAGGCAACAGGAGTCAGAAAACTATTCACTGCAGGAAGTCCCGGTATCCGGTGAGAAATAAGAAGTACAACAGCACAGGATGCGCCTTGGATCAGGGGGACGTGAAAAGCCCGCAGTCTTTGTGTCTTTCTCTGTGCCAGAGTGTCAGTGTTTGTGCCCTCAGCAACCCTCGAGCCCAGCTGGGGCAGCCACTGTCACTGTCTGGCTTCCAGCCTCCCAAGGGCGACACAGAGGCCATGATGGCCACTTCCACCAGCCTGCTGCTGCTGCTGCTGCTCCTGAGCCAGCCCTGGGCGGGGACCCGTGCAGAGACAGAGGCAGTGGTGTGCGCGGGGACTGCTTGCTACACGGCCCACTGGGGCAAGCTGAATGCGGCTGAGGCCCAGGTACTCTGCAGCAAGAATGGGGGCAACTTGGCCACGGTGAGAACTGAGAAGGAAGCCCAGCACATCCAAAGAGCACTGGCCCAGCTCCTGCAGCCAGGGGTGCCTCTGGCACCCCGGATGGGCAAGTTTTGGATAGGACTCCAGCGAGAGAAGGGCAAGTGCTTGAAACCCAGCCTGCCGCTGAAGGGCTTCAGCTGGGTAGGCGGTGGGGAGGACACACTTTACGCCAACTGGCACAAGGAGGCCAAGAACTCTTGCATCTCCAGACGCTGTGTGTCCCTGATGCTGGACCTGTCCCTCTCTCCCCTCACCAGCTCGCTTCCCAAGTGGTCTGAGGGCCCCTGTGGGAGCCAAGGCTCTCCTGGAAGCAACATCGAGGGCTTTGTGTGCAAGTTCAGCTTCAAAGGTATGTGCCGGCCCCTGGCCCTGGGGGGCCCAGGCTGGGTAAACTACACCACCCCCTTCCAGGCCACCAGCTCTTCTTTGGAAGCAGTGCCCTTTGCTTCAGTGGCCAATGTGGCCTGTGGGGATGAGGATAAGATTGAGAAGCATTTCTTTCTGTGCAAAGAGAAGGCCACTGATGTGTTTGACTGGGGCAGCTCAGGCCCCCTCTGCGTCAGCTCCGAGTATGGCTGCAACTTCAACAACGGGGGCTGCCAGCAGGACTGCTTCGAGGGGGGAGATGGCTCCTTCCGCTGTGGCTGCCGACCTGGGTACCGGCTGCTGGATGACCTGGTGACCTGTACCTCTCGGAACCCTTGTAGCTCCAACCCCTGCAGAGGGGCAGCCACATGTGTTCCTGGACCCCTCGGGAAAAACTACACGTGTCACTGCCCCCAAGGCTACCAACTAGACTCAACTCACCGAGATTGTGTAGATGTGGATGAGTGCCAGGACTCCCCCTGTGCCCAGGAGTGTGTGAATGCCCCTGGGGGCTTCCGCTGCCAATGCTGGGTGGGCTATGAGCCCAGTGGCTCCGGAGAGGGGGCTTGTCAGGATGTGGATGAGTGTGCCCCAGGCCGCTCGCCCTGTGCTCAGGACTGCACCAACACAGATGGCTCTTTCTACTGCTCCTGCAAGGATGGCTATGTTTTGGCTGAGGAGGACAACACCCAGTGCCAGGACATGGATGAGTGTGAGGGCCCAGAGGGAAGCCCCTGTGACAGCTTATGCTTCAACATGCAAGGGTCCTTCCGCTGCGGCTGCTTGCCAGGCTGGGAGCTGGCCCCTGACGGAGTTTCCTGCATCAAGGGCTCCATGTCCCTGCAACCATCGGCTGGGCCTCCCCAGGGGGAGAACACAGGAGATAGACAGGGGAGGTTTGTGCCTTCTGCCACAATGTCAAGTCCAACTGGGGATCTTAAGAGTACCTCCAAGGTGGCGCCCGCCATGAGGAAACCCTCTCTCCCACTGAATGTCTCTGTCACCCTTGTCCCACTCAAGACGCTGGCCCCCAGTGAGCCTCATGGTGTCGGGATGGAACCCAGCAACTATCACCCCACAGCTACCACCAGCCATGAGGAGTCTACGGGTGGGGATTTTATGGTCCAACAAAGGGATGATGGCACCGATGGGCAAAAGCTGCTTTTGTTCTGCATTCTGGGCACTGTGGTGGCCATCTTACTCTTGCTGGCTCTGGCCCTAGGGCTGCTGGTCTACCGCAAGCGGAAAGCCAAGAGAAAAGAGAAGGAGAAAAAGCCCCAGAATGCAGCAGACAGCTACTCCTGGGTTCCAGAGCGAGCTGAGAGCAGGGCCATGGAGAACCAGTACAGGTAAAGAGGCCCGAGGTTTCCAGGGGTGGCAGGAGGGGACAGGAGCAGGGAGATGGGTGGGCAATGACCACAGCACATGCAAGAAGATGGTAGGGGCAGGTGCTGTCTATGCTGGATGGTAAATCCAACCTGGCTGTCAACCGGAGTCAATGTGGAAGCTCCCTTAGGGCAGTCGCCCTGCCATCAGTGTGGGTGCATGTGGACCTCCCTCAGGGTATAGATATAACCAGCAACGCACAGCAGCTTCCAATGTTGTCATCCTTTGTTTTCCATAGTCTGACACCTGGGATGGACTGCTGAAGGTGAGGTGACCTCAGAGACACTGACAGTTGGCTGCTACCATCTTCAGAGCTTTGTGACCCTCACCAGAAGGCAGGACCCACATCCTTCTGAATGACTGGACTGGAATCTTAACAAACAGTTGTAAATCTTCTCCTTAAAAGCCTGGCAACTTGGAATGTGCAGGTATAGTCTACACGTGTGTGATATTCCTGAAGTTGCGGTGTCATGGCAGGAATTTTGTGAATGTTAACAATTTTCACTCACTCTCTCTTGTCAAATTCAAAGGTGACTAATTTCATTTTTTGCACTGATTCTAAATTACAAGTAAGGTGCTAATAGGTTCCATTTCAGCTGTTTCTCTGCTCACTGGAGTCATTTAAGAAGAAAAGGGGTCTGAAAATTCTAATAAGGACTGAAATGGTTTGTTCCTCTTAGTATAGCAGAGATTAAGCCAATTGTTTAATTATATAAAAGACTCTCTCTCTCTCTCTTTTTTGTTGTTGTTGTTGTTGTTATTGTTGTTGAAGGGAACATATTCAGAACTGGAAATATCTTTTTACATTTACATTTATATGTTTTCCTGTAATAAGTCCTGCTGGCTTTGATGTTGGTGAAATCCTCCACAAAGACCAGAAATTCACTTAATTGTTTAGGTAAAAAGGAGGCAAGGAGTTTAGAAATCATGTTTCCTTGTTCTTAAGTTTCTGATAGTTTTGTGTTTATTTGCCAGCAAAGCCTGAAAAAAAAATGTGGTAAAAGTTGTATGAAGTGAGTTAAAAGGATTTTTGAAAACAAATTCTAAAGTGCTGTAGAGACAGACCAGGGGTTTGTTCCACAAGCACTTGAATCTAAATTCATCTGTATGTTCTGATGTTACACACTTGACTGTTGATGAGATGAACACTCATAAGGAAGAAAACCAAAGACAATTTTTGTCTGAGTCAGTGTAGCCCCAAGATACCCACCCCCACCCCAGGCTGCCCTGCCTCCACCTCAGGCAGCTCTGGATTTGGGTGTTTTGATTGTAGATGGAGAAAGCACTACAAAGTCTCTTGCTCTGCTTGTTTCTAAAAGACATGTGAGGGAGATGATATGCTGAGTTCTGAAAGCTGTCATCATAAAGCATTTTAGCACAGTTCACAGTCCATACTACATCCTGAGAGCTTGATCCTGATGTGTGGCTGTAGCACACAAAAAGTCAGGGATAAGTCACGTGGGATGCTATCCCAGTGCTACTTCAGGAACTTGTGTCCCCTTCTTCTCTTCCTCAAAAAGTGAGGGAGAGAGAGAGAAAGAGAAAATAACTAAAGTCTTTTACAACTGCAAAAACTGCTCAAAGCAATTTTAGTTTACACTCTCATTTTAAAAAGCTCACTTACAAAGACTTTCCCTTAGGATGTGGTTGATAGCTTGCGGTTCTACCTGAGTCATCAGAAAACAGCTAAGATGTTTGGTCGGAATTGTTAGAGCTGCCTGAGTAGCACTGGGAGGCCTCTGGTGACCTGGGGGCTTTCTGAAGCCACCATACAGAAGGACAGAGGGAATGTGTTTCCTTCTGGAGACTAAACTCTGCCTCTCAGAAGGAGGATACCCTATTGTTTCTGGTTTTGCCTTAGAAATGTATCTGTTTTAGAAGTCTTACCTTGGGTAGGAGTAGCATGAGGTGCATAGACTTCACAGTCAATTAAACATCCTTTTGTCAGTTTTTGTCAATACAGTTCATTCTTTTTTTTTTTTTTAAGACAATGGAAAACTGAAAAGGGGGTGGTGAAAGAAAATATGGAGATTCTGAGGAGCATGGCAGAGGTTTGGAACTTCTGCCTTTTAAAGTCAATTTTCACTTGGAGTATTGGTGTTTAACACTCAAGGAGATAAAAGCTGTGCCATTGGCCACAAGATCCAACCAGTTGGCCATTCAGATGATTTTAAGACTTGGTCAGATATGTTGCTGACTAGTATCTGCCTTACTTGAAATAAATACAAAGTCGGCAGCTTTACCCCTATACCTTTACAGCTCTCACCCTTTTCATTTGGGATGGAGGAGCCATCCCTACTGTGGGCTCTGCCCAAGTGCCCTGTGGCTCTGTGGGCCCTGGACTGGCCGAGGTGGCCAATGTGCCCTCTCATTTGACAGTGTTTGGTTTCTCCTCCATTTCAGCCTCATCGTCTGGTCTCTGTGTTTGAGTTCTTCTGTGGTAGGAACAGGCAGCCTAGTCCCCCACTCCGGGGAGACCACGTGGATTCCCACTGTGGAACCCACAAGGGGTAAAATGGGTTGTTAAATAACAGTTTTTCAGAATCCCCTCCAGCACAGCTGGCCCTCCAAAGGCCAGTGAGATCTCCTGCTCTCAGGACACTGTGCACCAGCAGCGAAGATACCCAACCTACATGACCTCAGGCAGAGGATCTGATGAAAACGAATGGCCTCAAACAGTTGCTTTATTCTCTCATTTAATATCTCTGTAATTCTGTCTGAGGTATTGTAATCTTTGTGTTGGGAAGCTTAGGGCCACGGCAATGGATTAACAAGTGGCCATCAGCCACACGGTCATTGACAAACCTCTTGTTTATTCAGAGGGGCCTCAGATGACTCTGCCATGACATAGCCAGATAAATGGATGGAAGTGAGCATGGGGAGAAGGGGCTCTGCCATGTCAGGTTCCTCAACCATGTCTCTGGGCTGGGCAGGAACAAACCAGGTTCTGCTTGTTCCTGACCTGCCATGCAGCACAATAAGTGGACAATGGGGAGAGAGAGAAGGCTCCGCCTGGCAACAGGCTCTAAAGCAATAGAGACTTTCTTTAGAGTTTTCCAGAGTTCAATGTTCTGGAAGACTCTTGGAAAAACTGTATTTGGGACAAACTCACATCTCCCACCCTCTACCTCCCAAGTCAAATAATTTAAAGGAGAAGGCACCCTTAAACATGCAGCCCACTAGGCTCATTCCTGAATTTTAGGAACATTTCTGTTCTTTTTTCTTGTTTATATTTGGAAAAGCCTGAAGCAGGAGGATAATTTCTCCAGGGAATCTGACGACTGGAGAGAACCGAGGGCGGGGCTATTTCTGAAAATGCCTGAGGAGTGGTGGACTTGGTGAGTGTCCTTTGTAGGACGACCCACCACTGCTCAACACTGTGGCCTCGGGGTAAAAGCAGCCCTTGAGGGTGGCTTGATCATCATCCTGGCGACATTGTGGTGCTATACATCTGCATGGTGTCTTTTCCAGCAGCATTACGTGGCTGAATTAAGCAGTTTCTGAGTCGAGGATGGGAGGACTTGAGGGCTGCAGTCATTGCCAAGCTTTGCAAGGCCATCTCTGGCCCCAGGTTCTATTCAGTGATAGACTAGCAACTCTTGGGAAAGACTCCTCACATCTCCCCATGACCAGGCAAACAAGTTGTAAGGTATAAAAATTAAGTGTGTAGTGTACACTCATGAACATCACACAGGAGGAACTGAGTATGAAACAAATTTCCTTTCTCTTAAACACACATGTGTGTTGCCATTCTCTTTCATGTTCTAATCATGAGTAGTTGTCAGAGCATATAGAGATGGTACCTGAGCTAATTGTGTGGTAACACTGAGCAACCTTTAAAGAATATGGATTAGATCATTAGTTACTTTTATTCCAGCTTTCTTTCCCATAAACATTTTTGTGAAAACTAAGAGAAGACACATGAGATTTGACCAAAAAATGTACTAAATTCAAAATAATGCAGTTTTTCAAAGCAAATATAGGAAAGCCTTTTTGTATTATTTTTCTTCTGAGCTTCTCCATTGTCTAGATCAGGAAAACAGGAAAGCATTGCTTTCTAGCAGCTGCAAATGGTGTAATGTCCCTACATATTTCCATCACCTTAAACAATAGGTTTAGTGTGGGAATCTGAGATATGAGCCCTGAAAACATCTGTTCCGATATGGCTGCAAAATCCACTGCTTAAATCATTGTGGTTTGTGGGGTTTGTTAACCCAAAAAAGAGGACAATAATCAAAATTATCCACATATCTAATAATCATATACTTTATTCCATTTCAGATTCCCAGAACTAATATTCACTGAAGTGCTTTTTTTAAAAAGTGATTTGTGTTTTGGTCTGTTCTTAGAGATAACATCCATCTATTTTAGGAAGAAACTCTGGAATTCCCTTCTTGAATTGTCCCTTTTATCTGTAATGTGGCAAGTGTTTCCTTTCAGTAATTTCATCCCCTGATCCTCTGGGCTGAAACTCTTTTTTATGTATTTGGCTTAAGCTTGAATTAGGTCGTATGTAAGGTCTTGTTGTATTATATTAGCCACAATTTATAAACATCAGTAATCACTTCATGAAAACTATATGAGAATGAAAGTATTTTTAAATATGTGTACTTGAAATTTGTTCCACTAATTCTGGAATCATGGAATGTCTATACAGAGTTTATTTTCATCCTAAGCATGACTGCTTCACAGGTTGAGGGGAGGGCACCCTTGAACACTGTACTGCTCCTCAGAACTCTGAGAAACTGAGACACATCTTGGGTCAGCCTCAGGAAGTGGCAGGTTTGTCTATCTTTGCTCTCTGTGTTACGCACCTATTCTAATAAACTATGAAATAAACTTGTTGTCAACTTGTTTTAAAATATTTTATAACAACTCAAAATACGTGTACACTTGTACTCACGATCATTAAATATATCTGTTTTCTTTTTCAAAGAATGCTAAAAGAAGGTACCTTGACTGCCCCATTTCTGCATTTTCGGCTACTGAGGGAACACTAACCCCAGAGCACTAGGTGAGTGCAAGGCACTGCCCTCTTGCCTGCACCATCACCCAGCACTCTGCCCTAGGGAACATGGACATACAGAGGGATTGGACTGCAGTCTGACCAGTGTCCCAGTTGCTGACACCCAGGCTTCATTAAATGCTCCCAGATTTTGCCTTTGGATCCAGTGTTCACTCCTCTGTGCCTCCATCTTCACCATTTAATTCCCTGCATCCTTTTAATTGCATGGGTGACAACTGGTACAGGATTAAACATGTCTGATTGGTGTGATGCATAAACACAATTTTCTAATTATCATAGGAGCATTATCACCACTTTGTTGCCAAAGCGTTTTCAGCTTATTTAACTAATTGAACAGGCAGACCAGATTGTTTGTTGTTCAGCGGCATAAATCTCACTGTGACTGGAAGCTGGGGCAGCAGATGGTGGTCAATTCTGAGTCCACCTGCTTTTCAGATTGTGTACTTGCAAGAATAGGACTTAGGTAGGATAAAGTGCTCTGCTGTTAGGCTAATGGACACGACAGAGAGGGTAAACACTCATTACTCAGGGTTAAATAAAGCTGATCCTTTTAGCAGTCTAGTCACTAACAAAATACATTTGGAAATTATATCTTAATATGAACAACTATGGCTGGCCCCCAAAACACACACACACACACACACACACACACAC